CCTAGAAACACACCAAAACTCTAACACAAGATGGTAATGGCTTTTCAACCATTCCGGATTAATTCTCCATCAAATAGCACCAATCGCCTTAAACATAACATGGGTAGTCACATAAAACTCAAGTATTCTTCTATATGTTGTAGCCGATTATCAGAAGCCGTTAGCCACAAGAGGAGCCTTAAACCGCTCAAGAGAACCATCAGGTAAAAATTTAACATGATAAACCCAGCGACAGCCCACCCCATTAAAGTGGGGCTGACGAGGGACCAAGTCCCAAGTGTGATTTGCACAGAACGCCGCATTTCAGAAGTCATTGCCTGCCGCCATTTAGGATACTTAAGAGCCTCCTCCACCGACATAGGCTCGAGAGGAGGAAGAGAAGCATCTTGAAACTGACCATGTGATGCGGCTAGAGAGATGGGTGTGGAGGCCAAGAAACCTCCACAGGCTACGAGGCCTTGGCGGTCGAAGCTACGGATTGGCCAGCAGTAGGCAAAAGACCAGATGTCGGACCTATCTTGTTGTCTGGTTGTGGGAACAAAGATAAATGATGAGACGAGGAAGAAGAAGCTAGCGGTGGAGTGGCCTTGAAAGGAATGGTAGACACGGAGGGAAGGAACGCGGCTAGCCACGACGACAAAGAAGGAGAGACACCAGGATTAGAGGAAAAAGAAGTGGATTCTACCCTAGGAAAAATAGTTTCAACGAAAACAACATGACGGGATGTAAATAGACGCTGAGTAGACGGGTCAAAACAACGGTAAGCACTTTGTTGAGGAGAATAACCAAGGAAAACACAAGGACGAGAACACAAATGGAGTTTATCAGAAGAATAAGGACGAAGCCACGGATAACACAGATAATCGAAAACACGGAGTTTGGATTAATTGGGCGGCTCATTGAAAAGAATAGTGAAGGGAACTTGACCTCAGAGAGAAGACGAATGAAGACAATTAATGAGATAAACAGCCGTGGAAAAGGCATACGACCAATAACTACGAGGGAGACGAGACTGAAAAGAATAGTGAAGGGAACTTGACCTCGGAGAGAAGACGAAGGAAGATGATTAATGAGATAAACAGTCGTGGAAAAGGCATACGACTAATAACTAAGAGGGAGACAAGCGTGATGAATCAGAGTTACAGTAGTTTCTACTATGTGATGATGTTTGCGTTCATAAAGGCCATTGTGCTCTGGCGTGTAAAGAGTTAATAGGTGAGTAATACCGTGAGCAGCCAATTCATGACGCAGTTTTTGAAATTCACCACCCCTATCCGGCCGATGGTGGTTGAAAAATAATATTTGACAAGTTATTTAAAGGCGATAAAGATAGAAAGAACATCAGACTTGCGACGTAACGGATACAATCATGCATAACGAGTGAAGTGATCAGCTAAAACAAGATAATACGAAAAGCCATCAATGGAGGGAAGGGGAGTAGGTCTCCAAACATCCAAAAATAACGAATCTAGAGGCTGAGAACTAGAAAAACTCAATAAATGAAATGGTAATTTATGACTCTTAGAACAAAGAAGCAAGTTACAGTGAGAGACAGTCGACTAAATAGCTCGCATAGAGTTGACACAAAGAAGACGGGACATGGCTCGAGATGATGGATGACCTAGGCGACAGTGCCACAAATCCGGAGTGTGGCGAGTAGTAATGAGAACAAAACGAGTAGCACCTGATCCACCACCAAGGTCGTACGTAACATTCTTAGATCGTTCACAACAAAAGAACGAGCAAAAAATTTCACCGAGGCAGGATTAGTACGACGAAACTTAGCAACGGAGATCAAGTGCTTGTGAATACCATGCACATACAAAATATTATTAAGATGCAGGGGACGAGGAGAACCAATGTGTGTGATAGCCAAACCTATACCGTCGCCAATATACACCTCGGCAGGACCATTATAGTCAGAGTAGAGAGCGAGCTTACCAAGATCATGGGTCACATGATGCATGGCAGTGGATGTGGCGTTCGCCTGTGATCGTTTGTAAGGGAAAAGCTGAAAGCACTGACGAACGAAGTGACCCGGCTTCGCACAGTACTAGCAAATAACATGAGCAGGGTGGCGATCATCCTAATTGTGAGGATATTCACAGGAGCCACTAGGAGACGACGGAGTAGGAGAGGCAAACCGATCAGAATCGCGACCAACAACACCGCCGCGACGACCCTGAGCACGGCCACGACCATGTTGAGTAGCGAAAGCAGTAGCAGGAGAGTCAAAGGTCTTGGCGGCACGAAGATCAGCTTCGAGAGTCACCACACGATCAAGAAGATCCTCGATAGGAGGAACGATGTCTCGTGCTTGAATAACAACAGAGAACTCACGATAATCAGGCCCGAGGCCACGCAGGCACAACGTGACCAATTCTGCATCCGTGACAAGGGCACCAACGAGAGTAAGCTCTGTAGCATAGGTACGAAGCTGCTGAAGAAAGGAAACCGCATCACAATCACCCTTCTTCTCACCATACAAGCGATCGCGAAGGGACATAACACGAGATTGTGATGAACCAGCTAGAGTCACTGCAAAGTAGTCCAGGCCGTGTAGGAAGTCACTGATGAGCTGATGAAGGGTAAACCTTCTTCGGAAATGGAGGCAAAGATGTCGTTCAAGAGAAGCTGGTCTTGGCGATACCAACGGAGGTAAGCAGGGTTCCGAGCCGCATCACCATTGACCATGATTGTAGCGGCCGGAGCAGCAAGAGGCCAACGAGATACCTAGTGAGATCAAGGCCAGCCATGAAAGACATGAGTTGCACGCGCCATGAAGGGAAATTCTGAGCTAAGCGGGAGAGACGCTACCGGATTGAACGTGACAAGGACAGCCTCACCGCTAGAACCGCTAAAAGAAACCACTTCAGAAGAAGCAGAGCTAACACCAGACATGGCAATGACGAAAGCAAACCAAGAAGAGAGACGCGTGAACGTGGGCGTCGAGAAAAAAATTAGGATTTTTAGAGTTGGAAAACCAGCGCTGAAATCATGTAAGGTTTAGGAGAATTTTGTGTATTATCATTATCACAAGGGGTATTTATACCCAAAGAGTAAAAGTACAGGTATACTACAAGGAAACGTATACACAAAGTAACTTAAGATACAAGTAAAACACATTCCTTATCCCTACTAAATTGAGGGGTTTAATTAATTGGGTGTCTTAAAAAATGTTAAAATGAATTATTGGCCATTGAAGGTATTATGGTCATTTTCTAGCCCATTTAACAGAAGTTTAACAGAAAATTAGATGAAAGATTATATTCGTTATATTTTAATATTAGAGGAATATGTTATATTTTAATATTAAAGGAATATGTTTCTGCAAAAATTTAGTAAAATGATATGTTTGTTAACTTTGCCATACTAAAGGGTAAAAAAATTATATTAACCCCAATTTTACCCATTTTCAAAATTGAGACTTTCTCCAAATCCAATCTCCCGAATACCTCCATCTGCTACAAACTTTTGGTGCCATGTCCCATCTGTTGTTGTGTTTTCCATTTCTTACTTCCTCTTTGTAGTTACAATTGGCTGGCACAATGAGTATCTTGTATAGTGCATGCATCTTTTTCTTTATGTCATGAGTCATAATTCAACATTCTTCAAAAGAGGAAAACTATCTAACCTTGCAGTATAATTTTTAAGATCGATTGTAGTGTTCACGAGGCCCATGTAAAAGCTGATCACTATGCATCCACCCATTAAATCGAATCACACAACCAGAGTTTCGCAAATTTTAAATTAAAGTGGAAAATTGTCACCACTTCCATCCGACAATGGCGAGACACAACACAACAATCATGTTCCTGTCCCTATAGACTATAAGCACCTTCTCCAAGGTTGTCAACCCGCGGGTCGACCCGGATTAACTCGGACCCGACCAAAAAAACGGGCCATACCAACCCATTTTCATGTCAGCCCGGAAATAGTCAAACCCGGAGAAACCTGGTCAAACCCGGGTTGACCCGGCCGGTTAGTCCATTGGAGCGGGTCAGCGGGTTGCTCTTCCTGAGCCCCGTTTTGGCCGCTGCGTCGCCGTTTCTGCGGACTGCGCGGAGAGCAAACGAGGAGGGGAAGCGGCGCCGTTCTGCTTGGTGTTGGCCTGCTGGTCGTCTAGAAACCAAAACCCTACAAGCATACATAACATTCCATTTCCAGCAGCGCAGCCATCTCCCTCTCCCGCAGCCGATCGATATCGCCACGCCAGGGTTCTTCGGCGGCGCGCTCCGGGTCGCCGACGAAGAGAATCATCTTCGCAGGTCGGCCGCCACCGTTCCGTCTCCCCTCCCTTCTGCTCGGCCGCCTCTGATCACCGCCTCTGCTCGGCCTCCGCCTCGGCCGCCACCCTTCTCATTGTCGGTCACCAATTCCTTCGCCGGCGGAGACCATCTTCTCATTGTCTTTTCTTTTCCATTATGTGTGACCCGAGCCTCTCCATTACCTTTAGTTCCCTGAGTCATAGTCATTTGGTAAGGGTTTGGGACTTGGTTCCCATAAATGGAACGAAAGATATATGTGATGTCTTGTGAATGATTTAAGTTTTGTTGAATTTTTACTATGTTGAATTTAAGTTGATGTTATTTAAGTGTGTTGGAGTTGAAGTAATGTTGCATTTTTTTATGTTGGATTCACGATAAGTATAACATAATTACATTTTCCATATTTCCGGGCTAAACCGGGCTAAAACTAGTGACCCATTGATCCATGACCCACTACTCACTAGCTCATCCGGGTCCGGGTCGACCCGCGGTTTGACAACCTTCACCTTCTCACAAATTGTCCAGCAAGCGCAATAGCCCAATCATATTTACTGAACAACACATCTTGTCGAAAATGTTCAACAAAAAGTAGGGGGAAAATTCCTCACGGAACCTAACTCAAAATGGTAAAAAAGTAGTTAACCGAGCTGCCCACGAATCGACGTCGTAAGTAAGCACAGTAACTTTTGCTAAGTCCTTATAAATTATAATTAGATAGATTGATCTCTCTCCGTCGCAGAAAGGCGGTAATCGTAATAGCAGCGAGCAGCCATGGAAGCCTACGTAAGTTCTGCTTCTCTTCCATCCCTCATTTGTTCCCATCGATCCAAACCCAAATTCGCGAATTCCCATTCCAGTTCCGTACCTACTGCGCCTTCTCAGCCATTACTTCGAACCACTACATCGTCCAAATTCAAGCTTTTCTCTTCCCCTGTTTCAGTGGAAGTACCACTCGAAGCAGCCGACGCCTCCGCCACCGCCGCATTTTCCTCCGGCGATGAAGAGAAGTTCGACTGGTACTCACAGTGGTATCCAGTCATGCCAGTGTGCGATTTGGACGAGAGGGTCCCACATGCGAAGAAGGTGTTGGGGATGGACGTGGTGGTGTGGTGGGACAGGAACGAGAATGCGTGGAAGGTGTTCGATGATATGTGCCCTCATCGCCTGGCTCCGCTATCGGAAGGAAGGATTGATCCATCGGGAAGGCTGCAGTGCGTTTATCACGGTTGGTGTTTTGATGGCTCTGGCGACTGCAAGCTCATCCCTCAAGCCCCTCTTGATGGTCCTCCAGTAAGTAGTAGTTGCGCTTACTTCGATCATATAGTTTCTCTTCCTGCATTGATTCTTTGCTTTCTATCATTATGAACTCCGATTCTTAATGAAGGGATGAACTTGGGGGCAAAAAATTTGCAGGTTCATACAAGTAAAAGGGCTTGTGTTGCAGTGTATCCAGCAATAGTGCATCATGACATCGTTTGGTTTTGGCCAAACTCTGATCCTCAATACAAAGACATCTTTGAGAAAAAGAAGCCTCCTTTCATTCCAGAGCTGGGTGATCCATCATTCACTAAGATTATAGGAAACCGCGATGTCCCTTATGGGTAAAAAAAAGCTCATTATATTGCTCTGGACCTCTTATTGAAAATAACATTGACGAAATTCTTTGCACTGGTTTTGAAATTAATAATTTCCCTTTTGCGTTTATTGGTTTAGGTATGATGTATTGATAGAGAATCTTGCAGATCCTGCTCATCTTCCCTATGCACATTATGGGCTGGTACCAACACAGCCATTGAAGGGTATATTTTGATTACTGACGAGCCAGTCACTTGATTTCATTTTCGGTATGATTTGTGAAGCTACTCAAGTTGACTGGAAGTCCCCGTTTTTACCAGAGAAGCGTGATAAAGAAGGGGGAAGACCAGTTGAATTTACAGTGAAGAAACTAGGCGTAGAAGGATTCGATGCAGAACTTGGATTCGGCTACAGTAAATTTCATGCACCCTGCATAATTTCTATCCATACCGATATACCTTCTAGGCCCAATGAGGTAACTTGAAATTGGGTCTCGTTGATTCTAGCTAGAATTTCGGTGAGCGTCCAATTGGAGATGAAATTATCTGCTGAGTCGTTCTATGTCTGCTCTTTGGCGTTGCTTTCTTGTCCTGCAGCCATCTATAGAGCGGAAGACGGCATTGGTTTTCATGTGTATCCCTGTCAGTCCAGGCCATAGTAGATTAATCTGGGTGTTCCCGCGAAACTTTGATGTTTGGGTCGATAAAGTTCTACCAAGATGGATGACCCATATGGGGACAAACTTACTGCTGGACTCTGATCTATATCTTCTCCATATTGAGGTGATTTTTACTTGGCCCTTTCCTTTAAGCATTTCACACGGATATCACCACGGCTCTCATTTGTTAAAACATTGTCTGAACGTAAAACATCGTTTCGTTTGACAGGAGCGCAAAATCAAAGAAATCGGGCCTGAGAATTGGCAGAAGGCATGTTTCTTGCCTGCCAAGTCCGATGGTCTGGTTGTTGGCTTTAGACGATGGTTCAACAAGTATGCGGATAGTGAAGTCGATTGGAGAGGCAAGTATACGGGCGAACTTCCTCCAACCCCGCCGAGAGAACAACTTATGGATAGGTATTCGATACTTGTTTTCCATCTTAAAATCTTCATTTCGTTAGGACGAATCGTGGTCAGTTGTCTCTCTCATTTTGGTTTTCCAGGTACTGGACCCATGTGGTGAACTGCAGCAGCTGCAACTGCGCGTACAAGTGTCTGAATGCTGCCGAGATCATTCTCAAGGTCGTTGCTGTTGCCATAATTGGTGTTGTTGCAGCAACCAAGCAAGGGGTGATCACAGCTTCCACAAGAACTGGGCTGGCAATATTGGCTGCGTTGTGTTATGCGGCTTCTAAGTGGCTGGCTCATTTCGTGTACGACAACTTTCGCTACCACGACTATAATCACTCGTTTCCTGAAAAAGTGATGCTCTTTCTTCGCATTTTTGGGCTAGGCATCGCTTTGTAGTCGTAATTGACGCTGAGATGGTAAATGGGTTGTTCGTGATCTCTACCGTGGTACAGTAGAATTCGAAGCAAACACCATATCTAGTGTGTATGATAATAAAGTAAGCCAGATCTTGAAAGCATTACAGTTGCATAATGTGATGTTGGGCCAATTAATGTACAGCAACATCAATAATTTGTCTCCCCAACAGTGCACCCATCTCAAGAGTCAAAAAGAGTCGGTTTCAGTCATCTTTCCGGTAAAGCATGGCATCTCATCACATCTCTTCGGAACATACAGTCAATACTATCCCTGTATCCCACCATCTCATATTGCTATCTGCCTCTGCCTGCCCGCCCACACGATATAATAGTTTAATGTGCACATGGTCCATGAAGAAATAATTAGTCGTTACATTTGTCTAATATAAAAGATAAAGTATATCATTATATCAAACATTTGCTAATCTAACGGGATAAAATATCACCCTTTTTGACCTGCTTCGTGGCCGCCCATGCAGGGGATTATCAATTGCTAAAAAAAGAAGAATGATACCCTACTGTGTAAATACCCAATAGTGTACTGTAATTTCAACTATTCGTGCTTTAATGTATAATTTAAAGTTATATTATAACGTTAAATGTATAAGTTTAGGTTGTACCATAAGAGTATTTGTACTTCTATGTTATGATACAATTTCAAGTTATACCTAACATAAAAGTACAAATTCAGGTTGTACCATAAAAGTGATTTATACAAAAGAGTATAGGTACAACCTCAAATTGTACCATAATGTTAATGGTACAACTTTAAGTTATACCATAAAGACAAAAAATTAAAGTACTAATACCATTGTAAAATTACTCATAGAGTAGTACCCATATGTGTATTATATGTGTTCCTGGCCTTGAGGAAGCCCTTTTGTGCCTCATTTCAACTGTAACCTTATTTCAGTTATCAAACTGACAACAAATACCTCTTTATGCTTAACATTCTTCTCCAATGTTTGCCATGTACAGGATATGCAACTCAAGAAGATGCTGGTTCTGCTAAACTATCCGAAAGCCTTTACCTCATAGATCCCAACCCCACAGACAGTATACCGAAACACATGTTTCTCATTCCAAAATCTCTTCCTTGAGAGAAATATGTACCTCCATTAACACAGACAAGTCATTGCCTCTTGATGTCTGTCATTTTACAAGGCAGAAAAGACTCCCTTTTCCTTATAGCAACACTGTTTGCACACAACCTTTTCAGCTTATACACATTGATCTATGGGGTCCCAATTCTATTCCTAGCTATGATGGCTTTAAATATATTGTAACCATTGTAGATGATTTCACTAGAATGACATGGACCATTCTATTATCTTCAAAATCAGAAGCTATAACCAAATTCCATGAATTTTGTCTTTATGTCCAAACCCAATTTCAAACATCTGCTCAAAGGATTAGAAGTGATCAAGGAAAAAAAAAATCAAATGAATGCTTTTTTCAACAACACAGGTATCTTCCATGAATTATCCTGTGTTGAAACCCCACAGCAAAACAACAAAGTTGAAAGAAAACATCAACACATTCTTGTTGTTGCTAGAGCTTTGAAATTCCAAGCAAATTTACCATCTGGTTTTTGGGATGAGTGTTAGACATGCAGTTCACTTAATCAAAGAACCTGATACATACAAAGAAGCAATTCAATTCCCAGAATGGGATTCTACTGTCACCTTAGAACTATCTGCCCTTGATGCTAATGAAACCTGGGAAGTGGTTGAATTGCCAGTAGGCAAAAGAGCCAATGGTTGCAAGTGGGATTTTCGCATTAAATTCAATACTAAAGATCTATTTACATATTTAAGCCAGACTTGTAGCCAAAGGCTACAATCAACAAGAAGGTGTTGATTACCAATATACTTTTGCACCAGTTGTTAAGATGACTAATCAGATTATTCTTAGCAATTGCAACAACTCAAAACTGGCATGTTCACCATTTGGATGTGAACAATGCTTTTCTTAATGGAGACCTTGACCAAGAAGTCCACATGGAACTTCCCCCTTGCCACAAGGCACCTCCAAGTTTCAAGTCTCCATTTTGTCTTCTAAAGAAGTCCCTATATGGTCTCAAACAAGCATAAAGACAACGGTTCTCTAAATTCGCAAACAAACTCATATAACTAGGGTTCCAATCCAACAGAGTTGATCATTCTGTATTCTACAAGGCTACCACCACCTCATACACATGCATTATGATATATGTAGACGACTTAGTCATTTCAGGAACACACTTAAAGGAAATCACTAGCCTCAAGCACTTCCTACACAATGCATTCAACAACAAAGATTTGGGCCCCCTCAAGTTCTTTCTGGGTATTGAGGTTTCCAGATCAAGAAAAGGAATTCACATATCTCAACGTAAATATACATTGGAAATATTGGAAGAAGTAGATTTATTGCACTACAAACCTTTTCCCACTCCCATTGACTACAAGGAACATCTATCTTCCCAACATTCAGATCCTTTCCCTGATCCAACTCCATACAGAAGACTTGTTGGCAAACTTATCTACCTAACAACTACCAGACCATAAATCAGCTATGCTACACAACAGGCCGGTCAGTTCATCTCCAACCCAAGTCAAGATCATTACAAAGTAGTTATTCGAATCTTAAACCTCAAATCAGCTCCATCAAGTGGTCTTTTCTTCTCTGCTAACACTTTCCTTCAATTGAAGGCCTTCAGTGTCTCAAACTGGGCAGGCTGCATTGATACACGCCGCTCTACAATAGGTTAATGTGTCTATCTTTGTGACTCCCTCATTTATTGGAAAAGCAAGAAGCAGACCACCATCTCTCGCTCTTCATGAGAAGCTGAATATATAGCTCTTGCCCATACAAGCTGCAAAATCCAGTGGCTTTCTTCATCTTCTCCCATAAGCCGATTTTCGCCATATATATATATTGATGTACATGTAACGTGAATGATTAACTAATATTATGATCAGTAGCTCGGAGAGTGTTGAGGCTCTCCCATGGATTATTAGTCCTAAACACTTCAAGGATAGCACGGAAATCTGTTTATCTCTCTATTATTCGATTTATTCAATATGACTAATTTGATAGTGTTATTTTCATATTTTGGAACCTTTAGTACCTTTGCCCTAGAGACTTGTGTTGCTGGGCATATAAATAGGTTTAGCCTCTTGTGCGGCTGCCTATTATTAACCTGCAGCACACATACAGTAGCAGATGAAATAAGAGCTTGAGATCGCTTCTCCGTGAAATAAGGTCATCCACTCTGGATGACAAGAACCACGTAAAATTGTTGTGTCGTGTGATTGCTTTTCTTCCGCATTCGTTTATTTTACATGGTATTAGAGCGGGCTTCGCTCTAGGGATTTTCTTGCAGTTCTCTTGTGATGGCGAAGGACGACAAAAAGGTAGGGATGACGTCTGGCACTGCTGATGTCGGCGCAGAGGCTATCCCATTGAACTCGCCGTTGTTCCTTCATCCCTCTAAGAACCTTGCCCAATTGTTTCGGAGTGACCTGCTCACTAATTCTAATTACGGTGAGAGGGTGAATGACATGCCCGAAGTTCTTATCGCTAAGAACAATATGGCTTTTGTTGATGGGACGTTACAAAAGCCAATGGCTGGAAACAAGAAGAGGACTGATTCCCGGGCACATTGTGATGCCACCGTGAAGGGTTGGCTTAAGACGGCGATGACCAAGGAGGTCCGCGACAGTGTTTGCTCGGCTCTCACAGTGAGGGAAATCTGGTCCGACCTTGAAAAGAGGTTCGGAAAAGGAGCAACGCCGCGCGCTTACGAGTTTCGGCGTTTTATAAATGGAACTCGGCAGGAGAAGCACACTATTTCAGCATTCTACACACGCCTCCGCACCTATTGGGACGAGATGCAGGCTGTCAACCATGACCCCCATTGTAAGTGCGATGGTTGCACTTGTGGAGGCAGTAAGTGTGACTTGGCGGGGAGGCAACGTGAGAAGACTGAGATGGAGCGCCTTTTTGAGTTCCTTATGGGACTATACACCGTCTTCGCCGTCGTCATAACTCAGTTGCTAAGCATGAGGCCTACACCTACTCTGACCGATGCTTATCAGGCTGTGTCCACTGAGGAACAACAACGTAACCTAACGGCTGGGCGGCGTCCTGTTGTAGAGGCATCGACTTTTATGACAAATGGAGAGCAGGGGTGTTCTGAACGGGATACGGGAGACAAGCCTTGCTGCACCCATTGTCATAAGCTTGGTCATACGATTGATACCTGCTATAAACTTCATTTGTATCCGCCGGATCTTCCGAAGCAGCACAGCTTGATCAGTTGAAACAGCTCCTGGCAGATTCGGCAAAATCCTCATCGTCGAGCAATCTTGAAGCACACATGGCTGGTAATCTCTCTGATTTATCTGTATAGCTGATTGACTCGGGATGTAATAAGCATAATGTGCGGGATAGTAGTTGGTTAGATGAATTAGATGCTTCAACTATTCTTGCTCCTGTACATATACCAAATGGGGAGAGTGTTCCTGTGCGTGGTACAGGGCCAGTTTAGTTGACTGAAAGACTTACTATTCGTCGTGTCTTACATGTTCCTGAGTTCAAGTGTAATATGTTGTCCGTCAGCCGATTGTGTAAGGATAATAACGTTGCGTTGACCTTCCTGACTGATTTCTGCATTCTCTAGGCCTTACCTTCAATGACCGTGATTGGGATTGGTGAATGTCGAGATGGATTATACTACTTGCGCCGAGATAGAGCTGCTTTGAAGCCTACAGTTCTAACGACCACAGCCAGCGCTGTTGCTCGACGATTAGAGTCTTCAGCTCTTTGGCATGCCCGACTGGGGCTCCCTTTGGCAGCCAAGTTTGATTTATTAAGAAGATTTATTATTTGTAGAGACACGGTTCAAGCAGTTCGGCATTGTGATTCATGTTTTTGTGCGAAACAGTCTTGTATACCTATGTCCTTGAGTTTGGTTAAGAGTTAAGACCAAAGAATGCTTTGAGTTGATACATTTGGATATTTGAGGTGGATATCGTACTCCTTCACTCGATGGTTCTCGTTTCTTTCTCACCAACGTCGATGATTATAGTCGTACCACCTGGGTTTATCTTATGAAGTACAAGTCAGACGTTGAACGATATATTAAGATGTTTTATCATCTAGTATCGACTCAGTTTAAGTTTGAGGTACGCAGGATTCAGGCTGATAATGGGTTGGAATTTAGAACCCACTCGTTATGAGATTTTTATGAGCATGGTATTATTTTG